AGAGGGAACTGCCTACGGCCTCTCATCATGGACAGAGAGGACACAGCTCCAAGTAGTTCATATTCCTTCCATCTTATCATATAAGGCATAGCACAATAAGCAGGCATGGCTTCCCCCGACCCCAGTAAAACTCTTGCACTTCCCAGTGTCTGGGACATCAACCAGTGAAGATGTCAGTGGCGTTTTACTGAGAGGTAAAATAGTTTATACAGGTTTGTGTGTTGTTGGGGGTTTTTTAAACATTTTTACATTGAAAAAAATGGCACACACTGTGTACCTGGTCTCACCACTCCACACATGTAGGCATGGTTCTCCAAACACCTCTCTCCTCCTGAGGAATGCTTCCTCCCTGCTAGCACAGGCATATCTGTGAACAGCTTGGTGAAAGAGTGCTGCTGGAGCCTGACCTCAGCCACCTCTATGCCTAGTCTGAGGCCAGCTGAAAAAAACCCAGACTTCCAGTGGAGGAGAATGTCCATGCCTACAGTGAGCTCTGCTGGGCACAGAAATGCTCAGTAATACCCAACCAGAAAACTCTCTGGGTTGAAGTGCCTGACTTGATAAAAAGAGTAGATCTTCATTCTTAAAAAAAACTGTTTTGCGACTGGGAGCATAACTCCCTAGTAGTAGGAGTGGTTTCACAGAGATTTCTTCTTAAGCACCTAACACAGCAATGTGTCGCTCACAAACAGACATAACCATGACAGCAATCATGTTAACTGAATTGATTTCCTGCTAAATGTTCATTTTACTGCATGGTGGATCTTGATTAAGAGAGGGGTCCTGTGTTTTGTTTGGAGAGGACTGGGAGCATAACTCCCTAGTAGTAGGAGTGGTTTCACAGAGATTTCTTCTTAAGCACCTAACACAGCAATGTGTCGCTCACAAACAGACATAACCATGACAGCAATCATGTTAACTGAATTGATTTCCTGCTAAATGTTCATTTTACTGCATGGTGGATCTTGATTAAGAGAGGGGTCCTGTGTTTTGTTTGGAGAGGAAGAGCAGTGTGTTCCTGCCTGGATTGTATCTGGTAGACTAATGAGAAAGGGTCAGATTGAGCATAAAGAAAACATTATTTTCATTGATTGAAGAAAAATGTTTAGGAGAGAAAAGTTTGGACATTTTTAGGACTAAAGCAAAATATCTCATCAGTTCATGTGCTACTCACTTTGATGTAGGAGAAATATCATTACACCTTAAAGCATGTGAAAGGGTGTACCAAAAGCTTTTGTGCTTATTTCCAGTCACACTGATAGTTGCAGAAAAAGACAGTGGCATCCTGTGCAAATCTGGACTCATCACTGTCAGCTTCTCCATCAGCATTGAAAGCAAAGATATTTAACTGCCCTAACTAATTAAACATAATTAGATTAGACTGTAAACTCATTCCCTTGCCTTTCTTTATTAGGAAGAGTTTAAAATTTGTTAAAAATGATATCAAGTTGCAAACCACTAAACCTGCTAAGTAACTGGAAACCAAGTTACTTCATTAGACCATCCTTTCCTGTGCTCATAAAACCTGCTGCACACTGTCCACCAATGCTCCCAGGACTGATGCAAAGCACAGAGGACTGATGCTGGGCCACATCTAAAAGTCTGACATCCCTAAGGGGAGCCAGCTGGAAATCTCAGTATTCTATCTTCCTACCAGTCTCAGAACTATGGCTTTTCCTAGCCTGGAGAGGCCAGGATGCCTGTCAGGACAGCAGCACCGATCCCTCCTTTCAGCCCCAGCATGGAGGTTGAGATCTAGGAGGAAAGGGAGTTGGGACAAGGCCCTGGAACTGCCACAATGAGGCTAAGGGCAATGGCAGCCTTTGCTAAGCAGGACAAGACACCCACAGGTGGCCAGAGGGGCATCCCTTTGGGAACTGGCTCTTAAGGATATGTCTGGGGGCTCTCTGATGGCTCATGTGTACCCTCTTGCTCTTTCTGTCCTTTGTATAAAATGCAGAGCAATGCAGGCCTCAGGTACTTTAGCATATTTAAATATTCGTAGGACCTTTTGCAGAGGCAGGGCATGTTACACAATCCTGAAGGATAATTTTTTTTTTTAAAGTATTTTTCCACAGTGAATAATTAAGCTATTTACTTAACGCCTGGTAAAGTATAAAATTTTTTTAAGCAGAAGTAATGTACAAAATTATTTTTTCCTCTTAAACCAACATTGTCACTTTTAATTGAATCAGCTGAATAACTTCTTATTTGGTGCAGATTTACCATGCTTGGTATAGAGCATGAGTTTTAGTACGTATGAGATGCAAGGATATGTTGCTGCAATGTCCTATGGTGCAGCTTGATAATGTAGTTTTTTGTCTTTGTTTGCCTGCAGGCTGAAGTAGCCAATTATTGCATACACAAAACTGGTTTTGCTTCTGTTATAGCACTGAATTTGCTCTGTGTCTTCAGGTACAAGCCAACTTCAGATGATGAGAGACATGAATGAAACAAATTCATAGCTGAAGATTGAGTCAAATGATAGTTAATTTGGCATCTACTACCCTCTGCTGGTTATGAAGAAGTAAAACCCTCAGAAGTCCTTTGTAAGCAGCCACCGACATGGATGGACACTAAGAATTCCTATGATACTCCCAATTTTTTAATCAAAACAGTTGTACATTGGCCATTTTAATTTTCTTTTTAGTTCTTTTAGGGGAATGGCAGTGTGATATTCTTTCTTGGACCAGTAGATACCCGAAGATCCTCAGCATATACTTAGCCTCTCCTGTGAAACATCTTCTAGGCTTAAAATGCAGGGTTCTGAATGACTCTGACTCTGAGCAATTTCCACTTTCGTGTATATCTCTGTGACACCTTGGGAGTCACAGCACCACACCAGGTGTGGGGTCTGTCAGGTTTTAGCCACTCAGAGAATTTTGCATGACCTTGTCATTTGGCAATTGTGTGCTAACATCCGCAGCTTATTCTTCAAGATTAGATGTTTTATTTTTGATTCACTAACACACAACCAGATTATTCCTTTCATTGCAGATCAATGCATTTAAATTAAAAAACATATACAGAGAATTTGGCCTTCTTATGAATAATTACCTTAATTAAACAAAGTATAGGAAGTCCGGAGTATATTCATCTTCTCCTTTGCAGCGTGTAACTTAGAAACGTAGTAATTTAAGTATACAACTACTTACCTTTCCAGTGTTTTGATGTTCTTGGTCCAATGATACCTTGTACTAAAAGCAGTGTGTCTAGGCAAATATAGAGGCACTATTAGACACCTGGGGTTAGCCTGACTCACACCAAAAAGTCTATGCTCTGATAACACAAAACAAACCCCAACCTGTTTTCTACTCTGAAACCAGGTTAAGGACATAGATGACTTTGCACTTGTTGACCAACTTCAGCACGTGTGTGTTCCACTGACTCCCAAAGACTCAAGTTTTGATGGCTACACAGTACTTTATTGTTCTCTGCATTGCACTTGGTGCCTGTGGCTGGACAGAAATCCTGCACACACAAAGCAGTACTTTTACTACTCTTTGGGTATTTTCTTTCACTAAAGTTTCCTTTACCTGCTATTAAGCATCTGAATATGCACCACAATTCTCTCTGAGATAATTTTAATCTGTGTTTTGATTTATACTGAGGTGGAATTAAAAATGAAGAGTAAAGAAGTATTTCTGAGGAGAATGACAGAAGAAACCATGAAAGCTCTTTGCTGTAGACCGGACACGTTTCCTATCTATGTACACCCTCAAGTGTGCTGCAAGCACCTCTGTGGATTTGGCACATTGCGCTGTACTGGGGACATTAGAAGAATCAAGGCCAAGGGTGTTGACTTTGACATGGATACTTCTAAAACCAAGAGGGCATATTAATGGTAACAGCACACTATCAGCACTGGGTTAGAGGAATGCTTTGGGATGATTACAGAAATGCTTTTGGCTGGTCACAGGGTCCTTAGGGTTAGGACTGTCAAACACAACAGCCTCACTTGATTGTAAGTTCCTTTCAAAGAAGTGGCAACATGATGTCCACAGGGAAACTGAGGTTCCATTGTTCAGTGTGGTCCACTGCAGTGATCTGCAGAGCAGCTATTACTGAAATGCAAGTGTTGAGATGCAGTTAAGTACAGAAACTGGCATGAAGGTAAACTGTAAACCAGTTGTAATAGGTTATTTTGACCATCTCAAAATGGTACACTGGAGTCTGAAATTCATTGTAACACATGATAACCAAAACAAAGCTGTGTCTCTGTAGAGAGATTCTTGGCCCTAGATCACTACTGACTTCCAAACCTGTTGAAGGAATGAACAGAATAGCAGTGAGCTTTCCTGTAACCTCCTTAGACTCACATTTCAAAGCCAAAATCCCAGCTACCACCATTGAGTCATTCAGCTTCCTCACAAAATACAGCTATTACTAAACTTTCTTTTGAAAGCTACTGTTTCCTGAAAAACAGAGAAAAATCATCTTTCCTCCCCTTCAAGAGTCACAAGCCACCGTTTCTTCAACTAAAATCTAACAGATTAGAAACAGAGTGGAAACAGATATTGTTTGAATATAAAATGAGCACCCAACCAAAATATGAAAAATAACTGAATTCCTAGAAAAATACAGACGTTCCTAAATATTTGAGGCTTCCATGCCTCAGCAAACACAACAGGGCAGATTCATGGAGAACTTATTATCCACACAAAATAAGTGGACAAGAGAAAAATTATTAAGAGGTAGAGATCTTCAGCTGAGTGATGGTCCAGCACAGACAAGCTCCCTTCCTTAGTGAACAGATATTAGCTGGAAGTCAGAGTCTGGAACAGAGGAGCAGCACAGGGATATGTTGAACTGGTGTTCAGACCTTTCGGAACTCTGGCCACGACTAGGGCTGAGAGCAAAAATTTATATGGTCCACCTGTTATGCTATATTTCTTTTGCAAAATAGAGGTATTAAATTAAGACTAGATTACATAACACAACATAGAAACTGTAAGGACTTCAGTATTACAAAACTTCAAAAGCAACACAGATGAAACAGCTTCTTGGGACCAAGGGTTTATTTTTAATGACACAGCACTGGAAAACATAAGTTACAGATGACTTTTTGATACAGGATACATTATATATCTTAATTTAAAAGAATCCGTGAAGGTACGCTGCATAAATACATATAGTGAAAATATAGTGTGTCTATTTCTTCTCAGAGATTAGTTCTATTTCTTTTTTTAAAATGTATTCAGCCAATTAAATAAAAAAGTATAGATTATCATCACAGCAGCTCCCCCTCCAGATTATCTCATTGTAACTACTGCAGCTGAAAGAGGAGATCGAGCCATGCCTTTTCAAAGGTTAGCAGCTTTGAACATGATGTCATTCATCATCTCAGAGTGAAAATGTCACATTACAAACACAGATTCTGTATCATGTTTTGGCAATGGAGCAGCTAGTTTTGCTTTGGAACAAAACCATTTCCTGTAATGCCAGACAGGGAGAGAGCAATGCATGTACTGGATGATACTACACAGCCAAAGAACTACAATGAAGTTGTGAAAATGCATATATACCCATATGCACTTATATATACACATATAAGTTATTGTGTATATATATTATGCATGTCCAAAAATAACACTGAAAAAACGTTGCAGTAGTTAATTATTTTTTTTAAACACATGAAACTTATAATAGTTTGACCTCATTACTACAGGATAATTAATTAAATCTTCTGCAGTGCAACTCAATACAATACACTTAGTGCAGAGAAGTTAAGGTTTTGGTATTGAGGAAGCTAATTTCAGATTTCATGGGAAAGGACCAAATACAAGATCACCATAGCTCTGACAAAGCACAAACAAACCTGTCGCCACATACTTGTGAACAAATAAGGACATTTCTTTTTTATTCTTTTTTTTTCCCCCACGTACTGCTTCAGAAGTTGCTAGCTTAGCTGTCTGCATTCATGCTCATTTTGATATGTTCCAACAAGCTTTGTCTGGCACCAGTCTGTAAACCATTAACAGCTTAAACTACAAAAAGATGGGCTCCTGTGTTTCAAAGAGGTTGAAAACATATTGACTGAGTTTCATACCACGTTTCTCTGCCTGAGTGGAGAACTACTCCACATGGCGTGTGAAGTTCTCTGGGAAAAGTCCTTTATAACTATTTGCATCTCTGTACTGAAGCCACTCGGATTCCTTAATGCCAGTCAACCAGCCAGCCTCCTGCAAAGAAAAAAACAGTCTCTTCAATTTCAGGTCTCCCCCCTTCCTCACCAGGAGCTTCAGACCTGAAGATGTTTCAGTCACATGGCTAAAAGATTTGGTGCTTTGGTTAAAAAGCAGTCTCTGATTTTGCACAGACTCTTTTCTCTGTCCGGCCAGACCACAGTTTTGTGAGACCAAGTGACTGTGAGCACGTTTCACGGTCTTTAGCTCATCCAACCTCTAGATGAACTCAAAAGTAGATAATAGGTCTTCCAGGTCATCCAGTGCTACACCAGTCCTGCACTTGGGTTAAAAATTTTCCAAAATCACCACAGAAATATCAGCACACATGCAGTAAGAGCATAGCAGTGGACCAGAAACCTTACATGATATCATAGATGAGGGAAAAATAGTTTTGAATCTGATTCTTTTTTTCCCCTGAGAGGTTTTTTCTCTCATTTGCACATTGGCAGTCAGAAGAAGTAACAGCTCTTGCAATCTCTGGAGCTACCACTTCTAGAAAATATGCAATTAGTTTTCCAAAAACTCCTGGAAACCTAAACCAGAACTTGACAAGCAAAATTGTCAACACATCACCAGCAGTCCAAGCAACCAAAAGAGAGAATTTTGATTGAAAAGTACAGAGTTCTCTTAAGTGTGATAAATCCTACCTGGAATAAAATCAATTCAATATTTTAAAAAATGATCAACCTACTCTGATCTCACTAACTCAGTAAATCTGTACCTTTTTAATTTTTCTTAAGGAGCCAGAGCAAAGCAATGACAAACAGAACTTCTAATGCTGTTGTATTATTATTGCACAAATAGTACACATGGAGATAGAGTAGCTTGAACAGATCATCACATAACCATTGAGTCATGATTGCTCAGTGGCTGCACGTGCTGCTGTACTGGCTGTCTGCCCCCAGATAAGCATCATTAAAGGAGATACAGCTTATAGATGGCATTGGCTGGGTACACTTGACTGGGAGCATATTTCTGAAGAATGTGAAATATTTGATAGTAAGAAGAACTTCAGCTTTCTAGCACAGGCAGCATAGATTATATGAAAGAATACAGTTTTACTAAATAATAACTTCAAGACTAATGGAAAAAGCCACTGGGTTGGACTGGCTTGATTCAAATGGAGAACACAGACTGATGTTAACAGTCATATTAGAATTATGGCTTTAGACAGGTCAATTTTGAAGGAAAATGAAGAATAACAACTATAAAAAGCCTCTATATAAATCAACAAAGTACCTGGAAAAAGACAAAAATATTAAGTCTTATGGTGATGTTAAACATGAAGGGCAAATATGTACCAAGTAATAAAGATATGACCAGAATGGTTTCAGAAACATGAATACATAAAGGTCTATTTTCTCCATCATTGCACACAATTTACTTCATTTAATGCTAATGGAATTTTGACACACACCAGAAGAAGAATATACTTCATGGACTCACCAAGTGAAGATTAAGCATAGTTAACACCTAATATCCTAAGAAAAACAGACTGAAGACAGAGAGCATATTTTCTGTCCTGTTCTAAAAACACTGACAATGAAATCAGCTGAACTGCCCACGAGGTAAGACACAGCATAATTTGAATATGTATAATAGAATATTTTATTCTGAAATAAATAAAAAAACACCCTACCCACAAACCCCAATTATTAGTCTCTTGAATGAAAAGAAAGCTCAGCTGAGATGATGAACACTGATTATTACCTACCTTTGGACAGCACCAATGAGCAAGATCATTTCAAACACAGTCCCCAGCACTCATATGTGCTTAGAGCATTAGTATTCAGGCCTATTTTAAGAAATAGTCTTAATTCAGAGCACTGCTTTTAGCTACCTGATTAGGCAGGATCCAATCCCACACATCTCAACCCCCAAATCAATGGGAGATTTTTCACCAATGCTACAGACACTAACCAATGCCCATGGGGTTTCTGCTGCTAATAGTATGCAATATAGTCTTCTCTTTTAAAGCAGTGGCCAAAATCAATACACATCACTGCAATTCAATTTAACATATGGCATAAAATTGTTTAAAACTTCACCTAAAATGCATTGTTGAAATAAAAGTAGATGCCTGAAATGAAATTAAACTACTGTTTAATCCAGGTTCAGGTTTCCAGAGGGCAAAGTTATCTTTATCAGAGGCACGTAGAACACATAGCAGCATCTCCATACCTTTAGGCTATAAAACAGCACAATTTGTGTGCATTTGCAGTGCTCTCTGTGGGTGAATTTGTACTCTTTCTCCAAATCCACACATAAAAACTCTGAACATTTAGGAAGCATGTAGTCAATTCTACTGCAATGTTAAGACAAGATGATACAAAACAACTTAACACACAGTTTGTAGGCCATTCTCTGCATTAAACGTTTATATCCGTATCAAATTCATTACAATGTAGAACAAAAAAAGCCCTAGAAAATATGCTGAGGTCAGATTCTGCTAATAACATTTATCTGAGACTTCTGGTGTAGCCGACTGTGCCACTTAGTCTTAAATGAAACCAAGTACAAAGACAAAATTAAAATCTTTGTGTTTTCTTACAGTAATGACATTTTGAATACACATTCCCATTAACTATAATCTGTGGCAAAAAAAGAGGTTAATAAAAGCAAGAACGACATGTTTTTACCTGATCAGCTGTGGTCTCAGAAGGAATTACTAGTACAATATCTCCTCGTTTTAAATTAAGCTCATCACTGTTAGCTGCCTCAAAATCATGTAGGACTTCAACCTGAACAAAATAACACCAAACATAAAGATGTGATCTAAATGGAGACATTTTATCAACAAAACTATCTGTTAAATCCTTGTTGGAAAAAAAAAAGCTTCTTTTATGCAAACATATGGCTACAGACAAGTATATTCAAATTGTTAATGTTGGCATTGATTCATGTCACAGTCTTCTATGCATTTCCTTGGAAGCAGGGACAGATTAAGTAAATCTTCCTGAGACTATCAAAGGAAATGTAAGATCCTTTTCCAAGGTTACAGGATCTCAAGGGCCAATAATACTGCAACATCCCACAAGCTCTGCCTCTTGAACATGCCCTGCCACCATCATTCCTCTTGTGTAAGGAACTTCCTTTCATTCCCCACTATCATTATGAGATCTGAAAGAGGGGTGGCAGGATTTAGCAAACAAAATTGAGAAAGACTCCCAGGAACTGACAGTTCAGATTCTCTCATTCTCTTGTTGTGGCCACTGGATATTATGCTTGCTGTGAACATCTATAGACATACGAGTCATTTGTACAACACCCATTGCAACAGGTGATCACAGAGATGACTAATGGGACCCCTACTTAATGCTTGCCCTGGAAAGAGCTCCCACTTACAGGCAGATGGGCATGCCAAAAACATCTGCCTTCTAAAGGGGTGATTATTAAAACACTGGCATGATCAGCATGTTATTGTGAACAGACCATTTTAAGTAAATGGTTCTTATCTCTTTAAGAGATAGCTGGTCTAATTTTCTCAAAGCACAGACAGTTCTATGACAACTCTGCACTTATTAAAGAAAATGGTATTGAAAACCAGATGGCAGGCATATATTCTGCTTCTCCTTATTTATGTCGGACCCAACAGAATGTGCTGAAAAACAAAAGATGAACTATGTCAGCATGTCTGAGTCAGAGCTGCACAATACTCTTCACCCTCACCCCCAATGTTATTCTCAAAGTTTGTTGAAAATATTGAGCAATGAGAATAGACCATGAAGAATGGCATACTTAGGGAGTGCTATGGGACTAATTAGTGTGAACTATGCAAATTATAATAGGAAGCATGTAAAGTTCATCCATCCTCAAGGACTTTTTCTGTTGCTCAGTGATTCTGAAGTGAGAGGCATTATCAAAGAACCTTGTGAACCAGGAAACCCTCGGGGTCTTGCCAGTCAGGGAAAGAATTTCTTTTATGCCTCATTAAACTTTTCTGTTTGATTACCCTAACAGTTTATAATATTACTAAAGTTACAGAATGACATTTTGGTTCATTACCATGAATTGTAGAAGTCCCCTGGGTTTCAATAGAACCAGTACTTCCACTATAGGTTTTCCAGCCTGAAAAATGCCACTTTTAAAAATGTTTATAGAATTATAGAATGGTTTGGGTTTGGAAGGGACCTTAAAGATCACATACATTGTTAGCATACCAGATATATCATTAGCATATATCAACAATATTCCTGACTAAGTCTGGCAGTGCTGTTTTATTAAATATATTAATTTTCAGCAGTTATTTGGTGAGATTAAAGGGTTCCTGTACTTCAGCGAGTCTTACAACTACATAAGGATATGCACAACACAGACTTCACTTATGAAGCAACAACACAATGTTAGAGTTGTATTTGTGTAGGCATGTGTCTGGCTGATAAACTAAGAAATCTTTGGCCTCAAGAAATCATCACATTCCCTGTGGAGACAGATACATCCACAGAAACTAGATCTGAAGGGATAGCTAAAAGAGGAAAGAAGCAGCAGACCTTATAGAGAAAGCCAGGTGGCATTGCAGAAGCTGCATCTTCTGCTGCAACAGGCTGATCTTGAGAAGGTACAGTCTGGATTTCTTCAGCAGGTTTCTGCTCACTTCCAACTTGGGAAGTTTCACTTGGAGAAATGTCAGTGCCCTGAGTGCTGATCTCTGCTGTGGCATCTTTGGACTCATTCATGACAACTTCATGTTCTTCTCCTTCCCCTTCATTGTTTGACGCTGGCTCTATTACTACTGAAGGGATGCTGCTGACCTTTTCCTAGGAAAAAAACCCAAACATAACCAAACAAAAAAACACCCAGAAAAGAAATGAAAGACTATTTAGTACTCTATTTCAATCAGAATAACACTATTGTTTGTTTATTGCACGGGGCACATACGGAGATGGGAATTTGTTTTTTCGAAATAGTGGATTCTTAAGACAGAAAACAGTATTTGTGCAAAAATGCAAAGTAATAATCTCTGGTTTCACCATTCCCCTTAGTCCTCCTAAGTCTACTTTGTATATTACCACAAATTATTGCAATAAATAAAAAAATGCTCTGCAAGTAGTTTGGATTTCATTTTCACTGTGCCTGGAAATTAACAGACCTTTCTCCTCCACTCTACTCTTAATTTTGGGCAAGTTTGGGTAAAGCTACTAGTTACAGGAGTCACTGTCCTGTATTTCTTTGGAAATTCAAGTCAGCAGGATTCAAAGGTGATGAAAGAAGGAAATATGACCTATTTCTTCAACTGACTGAGGGGATTTCTCCTGATTTACAGCAATGTAACTGGGTGCAGAGAAAGCAAAAAGGCTCAGTAGGTAGCATCTGACCAATAATGAAGCCTAGGACAAAAAGCATTTAACAGAACTTGTTGGAGCACCCAACCTGAAAAGAATGCATTCATTGATCCTCCTCTGCCAGCCTATCTTATTCTGGAGCACAGAAGAAATAGAACGTGCAATGACAGGACATGGGAACCTGCTGCCCAGCTGCAGGGTCTGCTCTAGTAGCTGCTCACCAGCTCCTCAGAGGTTGCAGAAGAAAACGCAGCAGGCCAGATACAGATACATGACTTGACCACCATGACTTACATTAAACAAAATAATGCTATTGATAGGACACGGTGCCAGGAAACAAGAAGAACCCAATCCTTTCTCTGCCTGTTTCTCCAGAAAGTCCTGTTATGTGATGTGATAAAGCTTGTCTCCACAGAGAGGGGGAAGGGGGAGCCTCCCTGCCCTCTGCCCCAAACAATACCCTGCCCATGTTGCTCCCAGACCCATTGCAGGAGCCATCAGCCCATCAAGTCCCATCTCCACAAGGCCAGGGGAGCACAGGGGCACAAAGGCAGGGAGAACTCAAATTAAAGACTCAGAAGAAGGGATACTCTCTGTGGACCCCTCCCAGGGGTACCCCAGGAGAATGTCAGCCTTGCTGCTGCTTGGACCTGAGGACACAGAGCTGCACTAGCCTTGCCTCTCTCGGGCTGCTGAATCTGTCCCAATTCCTCTAACACACTCTCCCATGCACTGACACAAGTTACCTGAGACACATCAGGCTCCTTTTCTTCTCCCTGAGGTTTGTCACCTTCAGCAAAATCTTCCTGCTCAGCAGTAGCTGCACCATCACCCGCTCCTGCTGCCGCAGCCACACTGTCTTCTGATGCCACAGTCCCCTCACCAACAGGTTCCACCTGAAAACAACAGCAGGGAGGGACATTTCAGAATTTGAGTTATGGATATCTGCTGGAGAGACCACGGACTGGCCTCTGCTCTGTGACCTCCCTGGGAGATGCCAACATGTGGCCTTGAGCTCACTGGTGTTTCTCCTGATTTCTGCAGGAGAGCAGTGTTTGGGACAAGGTTGTGCAGAGAAGCTGATTAATAGGTAGGAGAGAAACATACATGAAACTTTGCTAGTCAACACTTAGCAGAGTGCTCAGGTGTTATTAGGGGAGTAACTGTTTGCCAAGACTGTAGTATTTTTTCCTTCTCTTGCCTTCCAGCTGCATTGTGGAAGAAATTTACCACTGGTTTCTGCTGAGGAGGAGCTTGCAGGCTCTCCAAGCATACACAGGACCCTGGCAGTGGAATCTGTTCCTGGGAAGAGGCTCCAAGCCTCTAAGCTACTGTTACCTACCTCTAGACCTGAGCTAGCTTCAAATATCTTTTAAAATGTGTTCTACAGCTGAATAAAGGTCAGAAAAATATGTAGTTGTAAAGATCTATAGTTATGTCAGTATAAAAAGACACATAAAAGCCCATTTAGTCTGGATATGACTGAACCATTTCTGATGAGTCTATGTTGAAAAGTTAATGCATGAATTCTTCCAGTTCTTGAAAGGTGCATAGAAAACTACTTGCCTACTACTAGATCAATCTTGAATCCTTCATCCAGCAGAAACTGTAACTGTAATTTATGTATCACCCTAACATTTGTATTGCTATATACTGCTTACAGTAGCATATTGGGAATATACTTACAATGGCTTAATCTTAAGTTTTGGAGGGTGGAAGGTAAATGACAAAATTCATTTTGTTAATCTAATTAACTTCAAGATAGAATTTTTAACTTACAGCAGATTGCTCCAGGATAAAGGAAAAAAAAACTGAAGGAAAACTGTTCTCTAGGTACCAACATCAAGCCACAGCTAGCAGAAATCTCTCTGATGTTCTTTGTTTCCTCAGTTTGACCTTTCTCCTGCAGATGAAGCTAACTCAGCTGCCTGAACTCAGCAACTGTTCATGGGCACTCCTCAGGTATTGCTTTTTAGCAACATTTAATACTCAGCACTACTCCTATTTGCTGCAATTAATTGATGTGATAAAGAAATTCTCCTGGAGTCTTTGAAGGCAGAAAATACTACATGGATTTGTAGAAATCACTGGGGAATGTTAATTGAAATTGAAAATGCTGATGATGAAGAATTCTCTATCGTCAAAAGAAGTAACATCAAAAGACATGGGTAGATATTGACATATTCTCTGGTAAGACATGTAAGTCTGACACTCATAGTATTACCAATTTTAGCAGCCTTGACCCAAGAAGATATACAAATAAATTATGAGCATCAGAGTCCTAGAAGAGGCTAGTAGGAAAGAGGGGGAATAGTGTGCACATCAGATAGATTTTATACCATGCATTTCTAACAGCATACTGCAGAAATTGATCTTGCTGCCTGTTGTGATTAGGATCAACAACTTCTTTCCTATTTATTTGATTTGTATAGCTCATTTTATTTCACTAAGGAGAAAATACTAATTTATACGAATCAGCTCTCAAATGCCCCACAGTGAACGGGTGATGCTCTCACAGCCTGTAGCCATCAGCCACTGAGTGTATAACACAGCTCACAATTGCACAATCATTTGTTCTTGTGTCTTAGAATATAAAAACCAATGCAAGCTAGAGGATTAAAAAAAGCTTTTATAAAAAGGCATGTGAGGTAGCCCAGAATGAACCTCGGTATCAGCCTCAAATATATTTGATTAGTACAGAAGAGAGAAATAAAAAAAGAGGGAGGCTGAATTCATACCTAGCTATGGTGAACCACATACTTGCAGATATAGTTACCTGTATTACCTTACTTCACATTCAAAACCAATCCTACAAGTCTCTTTGCTATAGGTCATAAATAACATTGGGCAGTCTAATAGTATTCCATATTAGCTATTTCTAGCAGTATCACTGAAATTTGGCAGTTTCCCCATTATACCAACCACACAGAGGACAAAGAAAGGATCATCCAGTATAACGTGGTCTGTGATAGAACCTGTTTCAATTCACAGACTGTTCTAATTGCACATATGTGAATTCTTCTTTAGCCAGGATGCAGCCGATTCACACGGTTGTACTGTCATTAACATCGCTGCTGGCTCAACACAGTGCCACAGATTCTGCAGCAGCAAGAATGAGTGCAAGGAGAGGAGAAGGAGGGGTATCCAGCCTGCCACTGGGGTCTGCCAAAGTTGCTCCCTGAGCTACGCTTGTCTTCCAAAGCTGAAGTTCTTGCCCCATGGCTGGACTTGGAACAAGAATGGGTAATTTTTATGACAGTTGGTTATAATCACAGCTAAGCTAGCTAATGTCAATAGGAACCAATCATCATACTTTAGGGAATGCATCAGTTGCAAAGTCTTGGAAGACTTTTGGGGTAGTACTGAAGAACTTGTTATGCAGCTTACAGTATCAAAGTGACCATCCTCCACTGGTGGTCAGATATGAGCTTAGCAAACAGCTTGATCTCTTCTGGCAGCTCTTCTGCATACAGTAACACTGTTTAAAAGTTACTTTAAACAGAACACAGGGTCAGACTCATCAGATAAGAGGCCTCAACTTTATAAGAATAAGTGGTATTAGAATAAAGGGGAAAGATTTCAAAGACTTAGCCTTGCTGCTCACAGAACAGTGAGGCATTTGTTGCATGTTTCTCTTGCATTGTGTCAACACCAAGCTGGGCTTGATATACCACTCACATCTGTACTTTCTTGCTATGGAATTCCACTGGTTTCTATGTGGATGTGGCAGAGCTGGTGAGGAGTACAGCACCACTGAATCCTAAATTCACCTCCCAGTGACACTGGTATAGCCTGGAGCCACAGATACATCCTTTAATCTAGAAGAGCTAATGCTGTTTTACAGCAGGATAGCAAACCTAAGACTCCCAGCTGGACTTAGCATGTTCTGAAATCAGTGAATGGAGACCAGTTCACTGATCTTTTTGTATGTATTGTGCTATCAAAAATGAGTAACAACAATAAATGGAGGTGGTCAGCACCTTGAGATACAAATACCGAGTTATAATAGGAGTTATATATATAT